CTTAATAATATTTTTGTTTGAATCTTATAATTTTCAGGTCAAACAAATGCGCGCCGAATATATTTGTCGGACTTAAAAACAGTTCCAAACTGAATCCGGAATTATATCGTAAATTAAAATTAAATTGACAGGAAATTTAATAATATTAATGCTAATGATCTTTTAAATCCTGAAATAACTTATTGTGAGAAATATTCCCTCATATTTCATAATCTCAAAATATTCGCGTTTAAATTTCATGAAATATGCAGAGGAAACTTATTATAAGCAATAGGGGATACCGCTATCTCCCTTTGCTATTTAAAATACTGTTTGCGTCAGAAATAAGCGCTTTTCCTGATAAGAAATCGTAAACTGATGTTTTTCACGCCGGCATTGCAATAGCAATGCCGTAAACGCGATGCACCGCGGCGATATCTTTTTCCCCGCCGTGTTCCGCATCGGATAAAAAAGCCCCTGTAGCTTTCGAAATTATTTATAAATTCCGATATCGGATCCGCGCCGAGGCGCGCGCGGCGCAGGCAAAGTTTCGAAACTACTTGCGACTGTTCGACGTCTGTAAGTGGTCGCAACTTACAGTACACATGCATGGGTATTACTGTGTGAGAATAGACATGAAAATAGATCGCCGATCTGATCGAGAATGCCGGTCATGTCCAAAACCGTTTCGAAACTCGCAGAAGAATTCCCTCCCGCCCTTCCCTCGAAAAATATTCTTACAATTCTCACGTTACGCCGCGTCAGAAATATTAAAATGACGACGATAAATTCTATCGGAAATAATTTTCATTCTTCGGGTGAGAAAAATATTTGTCGAAGCTGAAGATTTTACGGAGGAGATCCCACTTTTTGATTAAAGAGAAACAATACCCTCCAGACAAATATCGACGCTTATAATTCTAAAGAGAAAAAAAATTTCATTCGACGTATTCGGCAAACAAAAGCTTTGACAATGAATTATTAAATTTGAATACAACATTGTGCTTGATTAAATTCCCGTTCCTTCTTTAATTTTGATTTCATCGTAGCGTGCTTCTCGTACATCCAGCCGGTAAATATTGTCTCAGATCACAATATCTTTGCAGGCACTCTATATATCGGCAGTTAAAACGACCGCAGTTACATTGGAGCTCGGGTGTTGAATTTTCAGGAGAAAAATAGGAACGAGGAGCGCGCGCGCGCGAAAGCAGAAGAGAACATACATCGGCTCTGGCAAAAATATGAGTGGGTGACGACACACGGAGAAGCAGGGCGCCAATAAAAGGTATCGACGTATGTTCCACGGCCATCAACATCGCAGAGTGAAAATTCATTCCGCCGTCTCTCACACCGGAAAGGAGGGGATCTCGGGTATCGGAATTTGCCTGTCGAACGGATATCGAATTGGAGAGATAAAGGAGACAGATAAATAATTAATAGACGCGAGTATAACGCGGGTATTCCGAGATTGCGAACTCGTTACGAGTTCTCGCTCTCGTCGCGCGAATCGCGAATGGGTTAAAAATCCCTCCGCGCTTTTTAATCACTAATTTCTGCTGCGAGTATGCATACCCGATGCGAGTATATATTTACATAGGAGATACATATATGAAAAAAACGGTGAAAAATCAGAGCAGAATGTTTATATAAGATAGCGAAAAATAACACAATCAGGAGATTGTATAACAAAAAAAAAGTAAAAATTTTATAATCTCGCGTGGTGCATATTTTTTAATTTCCATTACGATATAAATTCACTTTTTCCCATCCCTGGCCGAGTTTAGCATATAGAAATCGTCACGATATTCACGACTGATTCAAGAGTGAGAGAGAGAGAGAGAGAGAGAGAGAGAGAGAGAGAGAGAGAGAGAGAGGGGAGAGGAAGGAGAGCTAGGTTGCCTGATTTTGCCCAGTCGCGAATCTTGTCTCGACTTTTTCGAGAGACCGGAGGACCACGTGGCCCGTTCGGAGTGACAATAGTGACATCAGTGGGGGACAGTGGGTCGCACATTAGACGGTGCGTGAGAATGACGCGTGTCAAAGTGTATATCTTCCTCGCGCAGATTTGTTGATTTGCTCAGAAATCGTCGTGAAAAAGATCGTAACGTGCTTTTGGGACAGCTTTAAGAAAACAGGCGATCAAATGTATCTCGCCCATATGATACCGGTGCACTTTTCGCTGAGGTGAGTACTCGATTTTTCCCTTTGATTGCCGGATCGGATACATATGTTACGCCAGCGTCTCTTCAGAGAGGCGAAAAAAAAGAAGGTAGATGAAAGTGGAGAATGTTTTTAAACGTCACGCGTCGAGAAAAAGCGCGCTATAAGAATCGACACTCGCGCTAAATTAACAACAGATCCTTTTCACCTTTTTTTCAGCTGCAGTCTTTTGTATTATTTCTTTTTAATTCATCTGTTTTTTCTTTTTTTTCCAGTACTTGATTTCTTTTGATTGCAAGAAGTTCATATAATATATTTAAAAAGAACATAATTTCGACGCTTTATTGTGAGATACTATAGCTCAGTCACTAGGTAGTTTTACCTTGAAAGTTTCGAGGAAGTTTTGATATTTGGCATAGTTATGTAGTTTATTGCCTTTATTACAAATTTTGCTACCAAAAAATTGACGCATCGGCGCCGCCATATTAAAAAAAAATAGCTAAAAAATCGGTCAAAAATCAGTATTTTGTATATATCTTGTTCCAGGTTTATTTGTCGACAAAAATATCTCTATAGTAAAGTGCAGAGGAGAAAATTGCATAAAAAATTGCAGAGGAGAAAATTTCCTACAAATTATGTCCAATGCATTTTTTTTGTTAGATTAATAGATTGTCCGTATTAATTCGTTAAAAATGACGTAAATATTTCGATAATGCTAAAAACAACTTTTAACACAGGTAAGCTATTGATTTGACAAAAAATGTATTGGGAATAATTGATAGGAAATTTTCTCTGCTACAATTTACTGTAGAGGTATTTTCGTCGACAAATACACCTGGAACGAGATATATGCAAAATACTGATTTTTGATCAATTTTTAAGACCATTAAGATCATTTTTTCAATATAGCGGCGCCGGTGCGTCAAGTTTTTAATGGCAAAATGTAAATTTGTAATAAGAGCACCAAATTATAATAACTATGCCAAATATCAAAGCTCCCTCAAAATTTTCAAGATAAACCCCTTTTTAGCTCCCTAGTGATTGAATTACTACGAATTAATGACAAAAAAATATGCAACCGAAAAATATCATCGTCAAAAGTAACAATATTGTCCTAAAAAAAAAAATATCTTAGAGAGCCTTAAGTTGCGTTAGCAGGCTATTCTTTTGTGCAATGTAAAATGACTCGTACTTTGTATTGCTCGCTAATTACAATTGCGTTTGTTTCCAGGTTTTTTAATGCGCTAGTTCACTTATAATTATCTTACTTGCGTTATACAATGTATGTCGCTATATTTCGTATCGATCAATCCATCGAATGTTCCGTGTATGCAAAAAGTGATATCGATCTGTTCGAAATGGTTTATCATTTTATCGCTCTGTCGATGCATCATATCGTTATTCAAAACATCTGTGTTTGAAATTTTACAATATGCCAAAACGTACATTTCTGACATTAGCAATATCAAATATTATAAACGATTATTCTTTATTCTCATTGGCAGCTCTCATTACATATACATATAATTCTCTCTGCTTCTCTCTTTCTCTCTTTTTTTCTAACTAACTCTGTTAGGACGTACAACGTAAACAATTTCCATACAATTCTGTAGAAATATATAATTATGTAATTTTAAATTACATTATTATGTAATTATATAAAATTTGTAAATTATGTAATTTTAGTTCAGAATTTACTGACTGATGTATTGTAGAGAACAAATCAATATTTTCTTTCCCTAATGAAGTTTCGTTACTGCAGACGCATTAATTCTGTACATTAATTCCGGTAAAAAACGAGAAAGAAAGAACGATTTGCGGAAGGTGATCACAGACATATGTTGCGTGTATTTATAATAATATATACGTTTTTATGATCTCTCGTCGTGTGGTATCTGGGCGACCTCTACGTAAAATCATCGTTACATGTTGGCTAAAGTAACTGCTGCATAATACCGCAGAAATATTCTTGAAATAGAACGTGGCCTGATCGATTACTTTATTTCGATAAAGGTCGCAATTTTTTTTCGTGTCTTTTACTTCATTTCGATTGTCTTTTTCGACTGTCTTTAATTTTTTCGATCACATTACGGAGTCGAGCGAAATTAATCCATGTTCTCAGCTTACTTTCGTCAGGTGATGTCGAAATCGTCGAGTGTTACGATCGATTTACGTAATAAGAATTCTAAGCTGAAGTATATTTCGTATTTTCATTACATCGAAATATCCTATACCTGACCTGAGAAGAAAGTTGTGAATTTTATTTTATTTTATTTTTTTTGAGACATGAAAAGGTCTAATATGCGATTTGTTGAATAAAATAAGAAACTTCCGGAATAAGTCAAATTAGAGACTTCCAAAATAAATCAAATGAATGCAAATGAATTACTGGATCGAAGTTTGTACGTAAAATTGATTTAGTTTCCATGCTATTTAGTTAAAAATTTTTTAAATACGAGTAATTACGTGTGAATTTATGAATCTTATTACAATATGGATTTAGTATGTTTCGTATTTATTGCATAGTTTTTTAAATGCATATTTAAAAGTTTTGATTAAATATTTTACCATTTATACTTTTTTAATTCTAAATATTAGAATAACTATATCAAAACAGATAATTTTTTACCTAATTCTTTGCTGTTTACTTATAAAAAGTAGTGACGATGATCACTATTATTTTAACTAGTAATTTTTTTATTTATGCCATTATGTAAATTGCATAATTGTATAAAATATATATTTATTATTTATGTTTATTTATGATGCTTCTATACGTTCGCTCATACATATAAGCCTTTGAATATTTTTCTTTAATTTTTTCTATGTATCTCGAGACAACAAAGTCGCGAGATGCGTTCGGAAATTGCGCCCAATCCCTTAGAAGTCTTTCTATGTAATCTTGCTATTTATTCTAAGACCCAGTGAAATTACGATTCCGTATCCGGCTTTCATGGCTACTGCAAGGACAAAGTACACGTCAAGTTAACAATTGTATGACACGCTAAATGCACTCGACAATTGTGCGAATAACTTTGAACTCTTGTTGTTGTAGCTATCCGCGAAAAACGTATACAATTTATTGTATTTATTGTAAATTTATTATTCCTAATATAGATTATTATTATAATCTATTAAATTTATTTCGCTTGTTATGCATAGGAAAATATTTAATTGGAGAAAGGTCTATGTGAATTTAATGGCTAACACAAAGAGAGAGAAAGAGAGATCGAATTAATTTCCTTGTTCGAAGTAACTTTTTACGCCTAATTATGAACTTTTCTAAAGTTTATCTAGAGAGGTACATTTAGATAAAGTAAAATTCTACGGAAAGATGAATTTAAGACTCGCCTAAAATTCGCGGACAATATCGTGTTGAAAAAGTAATAATGTTTTCAATAGACAACTGATTTAGGTTCTGCGTATGGTAGCGCCTTTTTCGATCGATACATCTTTGACTTCAGTTAATATTACCCTTTTCTTTGCCGAAAGATTACTTACAACGACGAGTCTCGAAAAATTTGCTTACTAACAATAAAATAGTATCGTACAATGTATCACTACTTGACACTGTTTTCTTACGAGTTCGATAAGACTTACGCAAGATTAGGTAAAATTTTGAGAAATAATAATATTATGATTGTACACAAATATTTTCATTCTACAAAAGATCTTATTGAAAAATTGGATTGCGTTAAACTGTTTTCAAGCGACGCGGTAGATATAAAAAAAAGACGGGTGATGACCTGTGAGTTGAGGCGCTATCAGTAGCTTTATCGCGAATTTTCGCCTTGTTAAATTTCCGCTTTAAATATCTCAGAAACGAAGGTTATAAAAATCTAATGACACTTTCATTACATTGACACTTTTCATAGGCCTAGTTTACATCGAGCATTTGATACGCGTACTAATTAGAAACTTTCTATTAAGTTATCTTAATTTCTACAATGCATTTAAAGAATGATGTACTAAGCTGATACACTACGCATTGGTCTATAGTTTACTCCGAGCACTTGATACGCGTACTAACAATAAGTAACAAATCCAGGGGTCGGTAAAATAACTGATACAACTTATTTAAAATAATAAATATAAAATAGATTCCAGAAACTTATTTAAAATAATAAATACTAAATAACTTTTTTACTTTTTGTTATTTAAAATACATATTTTATAAAGTAATGTTATTTTAAATACGACCGACCTCTGAACAAATCGTTTGATGCGGTTAGTATAAAGTTCGCGGATTATCTTACAATTAGTACGACCTAATCTGACTTAAAATTATTTGAAAAGACAATGCCATTAAAACGTACAATACTTTTTTATATACTTGATTTAAGCATTTTTCTTTTTTTTTCGATCTTAACATATGTATACGGTATCATTTCTGAATAAACTTAATATGATTATACATTGTTTGTTCCAAAAGTAATGAAACTGTTTTTTGGGAGTTCAATCAGAATTGTGGGGAGTGGAAAGTGGATCCATTGAACAGGGCCTTTGGTACAGGATGTCAGTTGTACAATCTGACCCTTCTCAATTGCCTCCGAGCCTTTCTAGCAGTCGATACCGTCTGCAAAGTGCGTTGTAATTTTTGTGTCTTGTCATGGGCGAAAATTCAGCACAGACTGTGCTGTATTTTGAGCAACGTTACGATCAAATTCTGAAGACGAAGCAGCATTCCCATAAGTTGTTTTCAACATCTTCAACGTTTCAGAACCAGATTTTTCCAGTTTCACGCAGAATTTAATCGCTGCTCGAGACTGTTGAATTTTCGATTGTGACAAGACATAAAATTACATTAAATGCACTTTACTGATGGTGCTAGAAAGGCTCGGTGGCAACTGGGAAGAGTCAGACTGTACATAATATCCAGGCAGTAAAAATGCCCCGTCCAAGAATCCACCCTCCAACAATTCTGATTAGCGCCAAAAATAGTCTCATTACTTTTGGGACAGACCATGTATATATGATGTAATATATATGATGTAATATAATTAGTATTTTTGACTTTATTTTGAAAAATAAATAAAACAAAATATTAATTATATTTTGCATCCGGACGAATTATCATTTTACGCGCATTTTATTGTAACAATCTTTTGTTTTAATATTTATTACATGTCGAAATCTTTCGTCCCAAAATCTCAAAATTTTTAATTTTTTATTTTTTAATAAACAGGTGTTTTTTTTCGTATTATAGGTGATAGTCATCGTGGTACCAAGATGAACGGGACGGACAAAATGGCTCGTTGCGGCAACGATGAATCTTCCCTGCAATCGGTGCACTCGGGTCAATCAACTCATGTCACCGCCGTTACTTCGACGTCTCCCGTGACGCCGATCTTGGCAAAGTGTATTGTTGTCACCCCAACCGACAAGGTCACTGCCATTACTACCAGTTCTACCCACGTGCTAGGTGCGCAGTCAGCTGATAGTCCTAGTAAGTAGGATGGAAAATCTTTCGCAAAGATTACGTCTGTATTAATTAGCGATGTTATTATTAGATTATGCTTACCAATGTTATTATTAGATTATCCTTACTATTAGATCTTGCTCCAAACAATTGAGAGATTATTTTTGACATACTATTTTATTAGACTGATAGAGATTTATATATTTGGTTTCACTGACCTATGTAAATCTTTATATTTGGCAAATGTGTAAACGCAGTGTTTATATGCTTTATGATGATGTTTTATTTAATTTAATTTACAAAATTGTTAAATAAGTAATTGTTTCGAGTATTATTCTGTATTGTTTTACGTTTATTTTCACCGGTTTTATTTTTGTGTTGCTGATTTTATAAATGTTATTTTCATAAACTGAAATTTCATCATTGGTTAGTCTCTTTTCATAATGTTCCTTTTTGTTTGTTAACTTGTGTCGTAAATCACTTTACCTATTTTTATGTTTCATATCTAGTTTGTATTTTATTTATTTTCTACTGGACTTTTGTATATCATTTTTTAATGCTCCAATATTTATATTTTATCCCGAAGAAATATTTTCACGTATTTGAACTGTGATTGCGTGTAAGAATTTATTAATCAATGGTACATAATGAAGATGTAGTAGGTACTGATATACTAAAATCTTTTTCTAGAATTTCATAATTTTAGAACTAAAAATTTCAACAATAATAATTAAAATCAGCGATATTAAAAGTATTAATGCTGTACTTTAATCACTAATATCATAAAATATCGTGGAGAATGAAAATTTTTAGTTTGGGGAGAAGGGGATTCTTATAGATGCTTGTTATTAAAAATGTTAAATTACTCGTCAATTTAATTTGTTGTAGTAGATTTCCGGCTTCATGTAAGAACTGTTTTTTAAGATCAACAAAAATAATTTTATTGTTACATTGCGCGCCGCAATTTGTGTGGGGCTGGAGAATGTAACAATAAAATTATTTTTGTCGGTCTTAAAAAACAGTTCTTACATAAAGCCGGAAATCTACTACAATTATAATATTACACACACCAATATCCGTTTCGGCTATTACTTCGATATCTTTGATTTATTCTTGGGAGCCTGATTCCTTTCAAATTTAAAAACTTGTAAAACACAGTTAATACATATAATTCCAGTTTTTTTATTAGCACAAATTTGATAATTTGATGCACATTTGTTGAAAGACGATTCGTTTTATAATTACAAAAGAAGATTAGCTTCAGATTAAATCGATTTTTTTCAAGCTTTCAGAGTGTACGCGAGATTGCTCTCGAATTCTTTGTTCTTTGAAGGTGCACGCGATGCACCTTCTCTATAGCTGCTTTCGACCACGATTCCATCTTCCGCTACTAAATTATTAACCAGAATATACCATGAGCAGCTACTACCTCGCCACCGTCTCCGCTGGACTCCCGTATACCAAGGCCATCGCCATCGGCTCTGCGCCGCGCCGCGAGCTTGCGCTTGCGTGGCGAACGTTTACCACCACATCATTCGCGAGTCACCACCGCCGCTGCAGCCAGCACGGCCCTGGTCGGCCACCAGCACTATCCCCGTCGTCACAACCACCTCCTGCAGTCTCCGCAGCAGCATCAACATCCGGATCATTGTATCTTTCCGGTCATCACGGAGAATGGAACTGACTCGCCGCGACAACGATCCTTCGTAAGTAACGCACGCACTGACGCGCGTCTTTTCCTCGAGAAATTGTCCCCTCGAGTTTGTAGGGAACTGTCAATATTGCTACGCACTACGTAAATAGTCTTACTCTGCGTTAAGTTCGAGATATTGACTGCCGCTTTTGCCGCACAGCTGCTCGAACACGAAACCTTGGCGGTGAATACGATTTCTTCCATGTCATACAATAAAGGGGCAAAAATTAAAGATACACAAACGGTAGTTCAACGATCTCAGAATTATATCAAGATTATGTTCAAAATATTTCAAACACTATCCTATTTTAAACAAACATGTGTTTAAAATATATTTTTTTAAAAGGAACGGAGTAGATTTTATTCCCTTACATTTTTTTATGCAAAGAGAAACATATTGAAGCGTGATCCACCACCGCTAAGGTCCTCGCCAAGAGCTATAGAAAAAATTGATCTCTAGATGCTTTTGCATGTGATGTATATCAGAGTCTCAATATGGATTATCTTTACTTTTACTCACGTTAACGTAATTTCGGGACAGCGTTCGAAGTTCTGTTGATTAACAGATGATTTGCACGTTAAGCCATGTCTGCCTGTGCCTATATACTTTTGCGTGACCGGATAAGTATACTCCGGACGAGTGTTATTATTCCAAATGCGGTAAATACTAAATATAAGAAATCGTCCAACAGATAGGCAACTTGTTATAAATCCATATCAATTTCCACGAACTGTACATAAGCTGTGCCTTGTCTTTTTTTTTTATTCTCGTGAGAGAATTTTTCTGAAAATATTGGAGATCATTGTAATCGAGAAACGTTAATGAAATGATTATAATAAATTAAATAATAATGAATTCGTACAAAGAAAGCGTCATTGAGACAGCCGAGATTAGATATTGATACATAGTAATATTTGTAATTTTAAATACATCTTTTAGCTGTAAATTGCGCGCTGATTACTGTCGAACTTGAAACACAATCATAAACTAAAGCTGAAATAATATCACAAATTATATTGATCATTAATTTGATAATGATGCTATGAGTATTCTAAATACTGTGAAGAACTTATTATGAAAAATATTGTATCTTCATCTAGATTCGATTCTGGATTATTCTTCCAATTCTATACTGGACAGAGATGTCTTATTGCTAGCCTCTGTCTGAGATAATATTTTTCGCAATAAATTCTTTACAGTGTTTATAGGATGCTTGCAGCATTATTATGAAATTGATAATTAATTTAATTTGTGATATTATTTCAGCTTTGGTTTATGATTGCGTTTCAAATCAAATAAGTCTGACAGTAATCAGTGCGCAGTTTATATAAAGAGTACATTTAAAATTAAAAATATTAAAGATAAAGCTGTAAATTCCAAAAAAATTATCAACACTGAGATCTTTCTTTTTTCTAATTCCAACTTATATTTACGTTTATAAAATTATGATTAGAAAATCTTTTTTTCTAGACTTTTAATTTTGGTTTCAATTACACGATATTCGCACATGTATAAGTGGCATTGTCTATTTTATTCTATTCGTATCTGTTTTAATGAGTCGCGCTAACGAGTGTTGTTAATAAAAATGATTTACCGTTCAGAGCCTCTCATTGACACCGGTGAGGCCGCGGCCAGGTCACGCGGCCTCTGGAGGATCGACGACAACGGGAGTCAACGACGACAGCGATGCCGAGAGTGTGAAGAGTTACAGTAGCGCTTGCAGTACAGCGAGCGCCTGCGAGCATGCCTCCTTCGCATTGAATGGCACCACCTGGTCTGGTCGATCGCGAAAATATGTCGTACATTGCTCGAATTACGCCGGCGATAGCGAACAGTACCTCACGCCTACCCAGAGAGCGGCTAAACAAGTTCGCAAGTTTCAGGTAATTGTGTTTCCACGATGAAAATAACTGTAGGTCTTATTCGTCATTTATTCCGTTCTAAAACTTCTCTATGTTAGACTTGGCAAGTTACATACAGTAGTCGCAGTTATATACAGTATACAAAAATATATGTCTATATTTCTTCGAATTGAAAATTTTATTCACAATTCTCTGTCTTGAAAAATATTTTTGTAGACGATTAATAGATATTAATCTGGATTTGGCAAGGAGCCAACAGAGCTCAAACGGTTAATCGTATATAAATATGTTTAACTATTGTAATTTTATTTTGTCCTTGTTAAAATTACGCGACTGTTAGTATCTCTATCTCGGTTATGGTCCAGGCTCTGTTAAAGGAGGCGCGCAAGGAGATTGACGAGAAGGACCGGGAGATCTTGCGTTTGACGAAGGAGGTTGTAGAATTGAGGTTGTACAAGGCCTCTCTGAACAGTCCGGATGAGCGAACGGATAGCAGCGACGCTCTCACCGTGCGCGAGAACAATCCCTTGTCGCCAGAATCGCCGAGTAAGGATCTTCCCAATGAAGATGCCGCGGGGAAATCCGTCGTCAGTCCAGAAGTGCCGGAGAAGCGTATGCATACGGATCTTCCTTCGTCATTAGCTGACTCCGGCCACTTTGAAGATGGTTCCGTCCATTCGAAAGACTCCGTATGCCTGCCTGAGTCGCAGTCGGAGATTACTACCAGTACGACAACGTGCGCTAATGTGGTGTCCAATGATATTGTCTCCGATACGAATCTTGTGCCAACGAGTGCACAACGGGACGAAGAGAGGCGTGGATTAGTTAGTCACTATGAAAGTAGAATCGAGGATATGCATAGGCGGCATGTTGACGAGTTACAAGAGCTCAAACAAAAGCACAATGACAAGGTAGTTTTTTTATTTGATTTATAAATTTTATTATTAGTAATTAGAAAAGGCAATCAGAACGCGGTAATTGGTGCGTGGTTAATTTAATTTCTGGAATATAAAATTCTTCAATACATCAATAACACGTACATTTCAGCCCTCCTCAGGCTTTTCTCAGTGATACAAAACTCTTACAATAAATCTAACATTAAACGCAATTTAGTTATTAAAACTTAAAGGATAGTCATTCTTTAAAAAAGTCTAAATTGCGTTTAATGTTAGATTTATTATAAGAGTTTTGTATCGCTGAGGAAAGCCTGAAGAGGGCTGAAACGTACGTGTTATCGATGTATTGAAGAATTTTATATTCGAGAAATTAAATTAACCACGCACCAATTATCGCGTTTTGACTCTGATTGCCTTTTCTAATTATTAATTATTTTAATCCAAGAGTCTTATACATTATTGAGTTTTTATCATAACTTTTCGTCTTCCCGATAAAAAATTGTATGATTTTTTAACATATTTATAGGTGGAAAGCTTGTTGAATCAACTGTCTGAGGTCAACACTCGTTACTGCGAAGTGCGGCCGGCTGTGGATATCGCCGAGGTTCGCGCACATGAATTAGAAGTGGAATTAGAGGCTGTGAAGACTGAGCTTAATGAGCAGAAAACGCTTTTGAGTGAGCAGGAAGAGAGAAATAAGCAAATGTACCTGAAAATGTATGCCAAAGGTCAAGAAGCCGCGCGTATTGAACAAGCCGATCAGGTATGATAAATATATCGAGAAAAAAATGTAAAAGAAAATATAAGCAAGATCAACACTGAATACTTCGTAAAATTACAGATATTTGTGCAGGCGCAACAATCACCGTCTAAAGTTACCGTCGCAGAATTGCTTCAACAGCTGACTGTCACACAAGCTGAGTTAGAGAATATTAAGGTGAGATGTGATTTATTTGCAATCTCTGCAATTCTAAAAATTCTGCGTTGAGAAATATGACAATGATATTGCAGATTGACTCAAAATTTTATTTGTTCTGTACAAGGTGAAAGATTTTCAGTGGCTATTAATAGATTTCAAATGGAATTGTTAATATGTGATCTTTAAGCGTTTTAAACAATTCATATACCCAGTCATTAATGATTGTCTCAGCGAATTTATCATTTTCGTTCATTGTCATCGAGCTTTTATGATATTAGATTGCATTGCGATATTTGCACACAATGAGTTTCTCATTAGTTCAACATTTGCATTCTTATTTTCCTTGCTTATAATAATAATTTAGTACGTCTTTTATACTTTCTGGATGCGTTCTACTTATATAAAATTTCCGTAATAATTGATTTTCTCACGAATTTCTCACGAATTGAATTAAGAAAACAAGATTTGTTAGTAATAAATTATACTAACACAATAACATGCCTAATAAGATGAATCTCTGGCGCGTTTTTTTAACGTAGTAATCAGCTTTTATATTTGTTTCGCAGGCATTATTTATTCATTTCTCACATTTATCACATTTGTCACACTTATGAGGCGTGTACCATCTCACATTTCGAGCATCGTCGTAGTTTACAATACTCTTGTATTAACGATGTGCCACTTTTTTTGGTCGCCGCTCACACTCCAGGACACAAGCTACTTGCCTGAACCTCACATTTCAGCCGAACGTAGCCAAAGTTTATTAAGTGCTCAGGAGGCTGTTTCTCTCTGGGTCCTTGGCACACGTAAGGTCTGTATTTTAACTCGGCTGCAACGTGATTCTTATTCATTTTTTATCGCCCATAAAGTAGCAATTTGCATATATGATGCACTGGTATTCTATTATTGTTTTACTGCATCAAGAGCTGATATTCAGACACACAAATAACGTTTGCCGTAGCCCTTTTTTATATATTCCGAAATTAAATAAATAGATTTAATTAATCTCTTTTGTCATTTGTCTGAGTAGTTTATTATCTTGTAACTTATTAATTGCACAATTTTATTGTCTCAAAGTCATCTCATCTATAAATGAGAGAAATGACGTTAACTCTTTAGGGAGAAATCTTTTATACAAGATTGTCGTAGGATGATCAGTTCTTGAATAGATAAGGACGTGTGGAAAAGTTTATCTTTCCTTTACATTCGCGTTGGTGAATGCTTGCTGCAACAATTGCATGCGAACTATGAAGCACAAACGTAGATGGTTTTAATTTCTAAACGTTGCTCTTAGATCGGGCGATATTATCCAGTGTACTTGGAAGAAACAGCCTCTTATATCTTCGGGCAATGTAAGTTTTGCACGAGCTTACAGGCAATGCACGCTTTCACCACATTTTTATCATTTATTGCATACAAAACTTGTATACTGTACATATATTTGAATCCAGATACATTGATGTATTTTCACTTGGTATTAATGCATTAACATGTAACATTATGTTGTGTTTTAATAATAAATTGATGTGTACAATTTTTAATTACATATGTATATATATACCATTAAAATCGCTAAAGATTATATCATTATGTTAAATGAGACATACAAATGTAGGTCTGGATTCAAATTTGATAAAAACACATCATATGTACGAACAATTATACACTTTCTAATTTTATACTTATTTTAATGACACAATATTTTAATTTTCTTCTTTAACGAGTGTGCTGTTCTGTTTCGATTAGGCAATGTATAGGCGTATTGTAGAGGCGAGAAGCAGCCAAGGTACTCTCGATCCAGAAATTACCCTGCAGTTCCTCAAGTCGGCAATTTACTATTTTCTAACGGATAAGGAGAATCATCACGGTCACTTAAATGCTATTGAAAGTATCTTGGGTTTTACGGAAGCGGAAAGACACAACATCGATAGATACTATCGATCGGCGAGAAAATAATATTTTCTAAAGATTTTCAATATAAAATGTTATATCATTGACGACTGGTGTTACATATATTATGCAAACATCTAAATTTTGAAATTTGTTGTCCTTTGATATTTTTTAAAGTTAGTTTATTTATTGTGAGAATATATATTTATCACAATGTTCATGTTTGATTTGCATTCTTCTTGCCTGTTAGCTTTATCGTTTTGTATTAATTGACTTAATTGGAAGAATAATATTATTTACGTTAAACAGAAAATCATATTTTGTCAATTATTAGAAGTTATAATATAGTCGGATCTCTTCCCATATTTGTACCTAATCCAACATTTACCGTGGTTATTTAAATATTTAATAATTGATAGAAATTTTCATATTCGAATAATCTGACATTTTCAGCTTCAAACGGTTTTTTCGTTTAAACGATCGTTTTTTTAAATATTTACACAATAAGAGTCCTGATTTCGGTCCAATTCCATCGTAAAACAATTATGTATTCGACTGAAAATTTAATTTTGTAGTTTCTGATTACACATGTATATTACAACTTTTTAATTTATTTATATCATATGATATATATGATATATTTATATCATATGCACAAATATTTATAAAATTAAAGCTGATATTCATTTATTTGAGATCCGTTTTAAATAAGAGGTAAAATGCATAATTCTCTCATCGATTTATAACATCTTAAGACTGTAGACGATTTTAAATACAAGATCCGACTGTGGATATCAACCTAAATATATAATATTGACAGATATAATTTTTTTATTATATATATAATACAAATATAAATAATATAAATAGTTTTTATTAATACAAAGATAAGTTTTATTATTCCAATTATACAATGGATATAATTATTTCTAAAAAAATTTATCTTTATATTAATAAAAATATTTCTCTATTCCTATACTGTATTACACCCTTTACTTGTAAATTTTTACCATTTAAAATTACAATAATATACAATTGTGAAGTTATATTTATAAAATCGTCGTCAAAATCCTGAAATCTAATTTACTAATGCACGTTAAATAAATATCTAAGCTTATTATACAGTCAATACATTGAATCGTTATTTTTAATTATTTAATAACGAAAATTATTTAATAACGAATAATTGTATCCTTCAGTAAAAATAATGAAATAAATTACGAAAATGATCACGTAGCAATTATTTCGTATATCACTTTCTTTCTGGCCTTTTCGTCCTCTCTCATTATTTTCTACTTCTGGTTCTCCTTCGTGATATGTTTATGTCACAAAAAGACGCATTAATTATTAGAATACAATTGCACGGCAATATACGATATCCTTTATCTTAATTACACGCGACGCGGCACTTGACAGTGACAGTAAAAAAAATAGGACTGTACAAAATTACGATATAGATTTTGCATTACGACACGAATTAAATATAAAACTTGAAATTACAGATGGACCACGATATTGGCAATATCGGAAGATACAATTGTCGCGTCACTTTTTTTGAAAGTTCGTGTCGTGATTTTTTCGGTCTAATAAATCTCGCGAAATACGTGTTCTAACGAATCGGTATACGAGCGCTGAATTCATGTTATGTGATAGTCGACTATGCAGTATTGTAATAAGTACAATTGCGGGATTAATACAAGTTCCATTTTACCTAAAGGAGTCTTATAAATTTACTGTTTCATTTAACGATACGAATTGATAGCGCGATGGTGTCAGCATTACAAGAGGAAAAAATCCTTATTTTTTATATAAATAAAGTGTGTATTTCAATCTGAACTTTTTGCCTAACTGCGATGATTGAATAATATTAAAGAGAGAAACATCTTCCAAAGATATCACACAAACGTTATCCGATTATAAGCTTTTCAACTAATTCAAAATCATTATTGATACCACTCAAGGCTGAAGAAACGTTTTTAGAAATTATATTATGTAGGAACTTCGCAATAAGTATGTATAATGGGCTGTCACGCGGGCGTGTGTAAAACATACACATATAATCACACAGAGTGCAAAATCCGATTGCCAATCAAAATAAATCCAATCAATCTGCTTTTAATCAAATATTAGACTATAAAACACTATTTAATGATTCTTCTGTATAAGTTTACATATTAAACTCATTTTTTTAAGTTTTTACACATGTCTTCTAATTAATCATTAATAATTATTTATTAAACCATATTACTAATTAATAATCACATAAATTATTCCTATTAGATCAGAACAATTTTCCGATCAAAAGCAGATATATTAGAAAACGATTGTTATATTTTGCATTGGGATATATTTTTATTTTTAAATAATCTAAAATTCATTCCATAATTTAATATTTTACTACATAGAAAAAATAAATAAGGAATATATTTATTAGTTTTATACATTGTTTAACATATTTATTAGTTTATCCATATGTTTAAGACAAATAAATATAGGTATAACAAATAAGACGATATATAAGAATAATATGTAAAAAAGCATATAAAATTGTAAAAATTCTGAATATACCGCATTTTGATAATAAAAATGTATGACCAAGATGGAGACATCCATTCACAAGGAAATAGAAAATTGCAAAAAAAGTTGCTCATTTATTTATAAGAAAATGGAAAATTTGCAAAAAAAGTTGCTTGTATAACATGTTAATATTGCGCGACCAAGCATTATTTTTCATGATAAAATAAACATAATTAAAGACAATAGATTTAATAATCCTCCACGAAATTTTTTTAATTATAGGCATCAATCTACATATGTTCCGGCTGGTATAGGATGTTATGCTGAGAACGAAAAAAATTTAAGAAATTTAGATCTCCGTTATGTTTTATTACAATTACTCCAATATGACATCTAGAGCTGTCAACGTGTGCCACTATTTGTACAAAAATTTGGCAATTTGTTGATACACAATAATACCAGCCGGAACTGCGAATTACATAGTGCAAACAATATAACTGAGTTCACAGAATTAGACTTGGATGCCTAATAAAAAAGATGTATATGCTTGAAAATTTCTTATAATATGTGCGCGATATTGATGTGGTATAGTTAACATGAACACATCATTATATATCCTATACACCAATATCGCACGCATCATATTTAGAAATCGTCGGTAAAACAATAACATTTTTAAAGTTTGATTCGAGTTTAGGATCACCTTGATGTATAAATGTAAATATGAATATTTTTTTTACTCACATAAAAATAAAATAATAAAGAGTAAATATGAATCAAAGCGCTGTAATCGGTGTGCAAAGAAATATTTAATGTAATAAATGAATATAACATTAAACGTCGCGTGTTTCAGCAAAATTACACAAATCTGTGATTGCTCGTCTGATGCTGGCAACTTGCCATATATTTGTCTTCAATAATTTTAACAGGGAATAAAAAGTTACTTTTTAAAAGTAACTAGTTATCGTTACTCATTATTGAGTTAAAAAATTAATTAGTTACCGTTATTAGTTACTGATATTTAAAAGTAACTCGTTATCGTTATCGTACTTAAAAAATAACGATTCGTTACTTTTTCGTTACTTTTTTAATGCTGACGATCAGTTTAAATAATTTAAGAATTTTTGTTAATAAAAGTAATACAATAATGACCCTAGATCGATATATAAAAATATAACTAGGAAAAGAAAAGCCTTTTTGACTAGAACTTCGTGCTTATTATTTCAGAGTGAATTTATATACGTATCCGATTCTACACTACGCGCCAATTAAATTTTCTTAAAACGTAATTCGGCTGGTATTTTTCAAGTATTTTAAGATGCTTATTAACATAAATATCTTATTAAATTACTTATCAATTTTATTTAATATTGATTGACTTGTGGCATTCTTAAGATGTCATAAATCAATCACAGAGTCATATTAATATTTTATAAGACATTATTTAAAACAATCTTAAAATAAGAGCAAACTAGCTAAAAACTGAAGATTGAGTATACGAAAATTTTGTCACAAATACAAAAAGTTCAATATATGTACAAAAAATAACGATAAAAGTAACTGTATAATTCGTTATTGTTACCGAGAAAATGTAACTACGTTATACTGTTACAGTTATCAAAAAAAGGACGTTTTTTTAGTAACGTCGTTACTAAAAAAAGTAATCCGTTACCAAAAAAAGTAACTGTAACGGTAACGGCGTTACAAGTAACGAATTACTTTCAATTCCTGAATTTTAAATATATGAAATTGAAACAACATGCAATAACGATATATGTGTATTGGCAGCAGTTTTACGACAAGGTAGCAAAGATACCTTGCGTTACACGTTGTCAGCATTTGATGTAGTATCACAAATTATACTTAATGACAGCATAAATTTTGAATCAATATATATAAATTATATATAAAAAATTGCTAACAAGTTATTAACAAGTTGCTACCAAAAGTTGTCATATTATAAAGATGTCAATTTGTTTTGCCAATAAATGGGAATTTAGTTGCTACAATTTTCGTAGCAACTTATGCTGATGTACATACGAGCAACAAGACAGACCCGTTGCTAGGTTATTATGTCTTAATTTATTACGTAATATGAGAAAAGGCATGATCTTTATTGTTATCGGTTGATGTCGGCGGCAATTTTTTTTGCCGAATATGACTGTGCCACATGCCGTATAGAAAATATATACCCAAGCCTGAAATAACATGTAAGACAATCAAATATATATGTATATCAATCACTTACAAACGCATACATTTATGTTCATTTTGCAATAAATTTACCAATTGCTATCCATATGGAGAATCGTATCCATGTGTCTTTATCCAATGTCATCATAAGATAAATATTAATAAGAATACTGAGTCCTGGCAAGAATGGCACTAGTGGCACCTGACAAAAAAGATGATATTTAACAAATATTTAATAAACATTATTATTTCTTAATACGCTATTTAACCATTAATTAGCTCATAAATGTTATTTTCCATTTTTTATTTATCTTTGATTCTCTCACGTTTTTTATTAAAAAATTTGAAAATATGAGTAATAAAATTAATTAAAATTGAACGATCTGAGATAAAATACTTGTACGTATTTAATATATTCAATATAATAATAGAAATAGTATTCAATATATAACATTAGAAATTAATAAAAACATTATGTTTCTTTTATATATATTAATTGGGAATTAAGAATTAACAAGATGATATTAACAAAAAAATTGTAACAATAAAAAACATACCGAGAATGCGAGTTTCTTGTCGGAAACTGGTTGAAAATAAATAAAACCGAGGGTGGTCACAAGTGCAATGACTAAAATTACAAGTGGCACTATGAAAGTTGCATTTCCTGCGACAATCTCTGTTATACACATTGATAACAATATAGCCGTACAGATACAAAGAAAAACTGCAAAAAAATTGATATTATACATTTTGGGACACTTTGAGATGGATCAGCATTCATGAAAATAATAACGAGTCTTACCGAAGCGGCATACGAGAACGGTAACAATCTGCGCCGTAAGTTTCGTAGAGTGATTTAATTTATTTGCGCTTACCAATTGTTTTACGATAAAGACAAAAGTCCGTGGATTATGATCGCCTTTCTTCTCGTAAGCTTCGCTTTTCTCGTATCTATGAAAAATGTATTTATTATCGACAAAAGCAGCTTTTATTACATTAATCTGTTCGATTTATTTCAATCAAGCTAACTAACATTTTATATTAGATATATGCAAAAGTAGTCTTTTTTTGTATGTTTTCGCTTTAGATTTATAAATACATGCAATAATATAATTAGTCATCAAAATTTGCCCTTATTTTCTGCGATTGTCTCTGCTATCTCTCGGGTAGTCTCTTTTGTAAAAAAAAAATATATATATTTTTGTACCTCAATTATATATCTCAAAAGTGCTTTCTGGTTAAAGAATGCTAGATCGAATGCTTGGAACAATAAGTGATAATTCGAAGATGGCAAGTCTGGTGAATATGCCGTATGCGGAAGCCTAAATTAAAAATGGTTTACTGACAATAAGTATGAAAAGCAACATATGGTCTAGAATTGTTATGCAGTAGAATAATCTAATTTACTACACTGAGAAAAAAAATTACTTAAAACAAATAAATATGTTTCAGGTATCCCTCAAAAAAATAATCTCTTGAAGCAAGTAAAATTTTTTTGTTTTAAGTAATTTTTTTTCTCAGTGTAGTCTTTTCTATCTTTTTTATTTTTTCTTAACCTTTTAAAAACACAAAAAATCGAAAATTTACTTAACTATACCTTAAATAATCATACGAGCGCTGAAAAAAGATTAAAACTTTTGCATGTACCTATTCCCAATTTTAATTCTTAAAAATATTAATTAAATTATAAATTTGAATCCTTTACCGTAAGATAAGTACACAAGATGCAACAATTGAGTATGTAAGCAGTGTGCAGATACTCATCATGTTAACCAATGGTTTGAGTTCAAATATCGTCGCTAGAATACCTATAATAAGTCATTAAGTCATTAAATAGTTAATAATTGTTTTAAACAATTACAATGTGGAATAAAATTTGATCTTTTTTTTTACATCATAATTTTGAGCATAATTCGTCAAAGGAGCCGAAAACGACGAATTTATTTTTCCCAAAATTGTGACATGATAGTCAACTTTTGTCAAAGGGTTTGTGTTTAGTAAGCAAAAATATATCAGAAATGAATATTCACATTTGTGATGCAAAATAGTGTTCAACAGTGTTATTACAAACCTGTAAGTAGCCCAGCAGAAAGCGTGCCCATGATTGGAGTTTGGAATCGTGAATTTATGTTGCCCATCCATTTGAATACCAGTCCGTCCGAAGCCATAGCGTAAATCACTCGCGGTAGCGGAAACATCGAGCCTAATAGACTGAAAAAATTAGTTAATAAAGAGAAATATTGTTTATCTTTATTTTAATAAAAAAATTCTTTACAAAATGTAGATTAATAGAAATCACTGAATTTTATGTTTGTGAATTAAATGAAATTTTGTTAAAAGTTACATTTGAAAACTAATAAGAAATAAAGTTTATTGTTTATACAATTGTATTTACACAGTTGAAAAATTTGTGTTAAATTTAATACATCTCACATGTCTTAAATAGTCCACTTAAATTTTTGTGTTAATTTAACTCAAAATGAATATGTTAGAAAGTAACACAAATATTATGTAAAAATTAATACAAAAATGTAACACTTTAATACAATTTGGAAACAAATTGTGGAAACATTATTCTTCAGTAAAATTAACACTTTTAACATGTAAAATTAACAAGTATATTTATCTTTTATTCATTTATCTTAGAATTTACGATTTAAAACTATTTTTATGTTATTTATTCACTTACTCATAAATTGTGTTATTTTTTGACACTGAGAAATATTGAATATCAATTTAACACAAAATATCTAAATAACATAATCACATTATGTTAATTTAACAAGCAAATATGTTAAAAATTTTAACAAGAACGTGAGTGGACCGTTTCCAACATAAATACAAAACATTTTTTACTGTGTAGTGGAATATACAATTTTTTAGAATAAAACTCACGAATCCATCTGTAGAATCAGTATATCATCAAGAATTATTTACTAATTTACTTGATTAAAAAATTCACTTATTTTTTCTAAAAAAAAAATAGACGCAACTGTACACTGTATTACCTAGCGCATAGTCCGCTAATCGCTCCGACCGTCACGAACCATTTGGCCCAATCCCATCCTATTACGTCGAACATATGTGGAAACGGTGCTGAGGGATTTTGTGAATAGTACGGTATTACAGTAGTGAGTACTATGGAAACGGCGAAGTAGGCAAAGAAAACGATCGTTAGCGATGCAACAATTGCTATAGGAATGGATCGTTGCGGATTTTTAGCTTCTTCCCCTGTGGTGGCCACACAATCAAAACCAATAAATCCATAAAAGCATGTAGCCGCACCCGTTATGATGCCCGATATACCGTAAGGCATGAATCCCCCATTCCCGAGCTTGCAATCTGTCTCGGTGCAATTGGGTTCCGTTTTCCAGTTATTAATGTCAGCTAAAATTATAGTTGTTGTAGTGAATATATGAGTATTATGCAGAGTTTGAATTTATTGAAAAATGACAACAATAAATTTCGATAGATTCGAGGCCAGAGTGAGTGTTCGAATAAAATCGAATAAAATATAGGCGGCAAAGGTTCCCACGATAATAGTGGTAATAATATAAACAAACTCTTTTACTTCTAATTGTGGGAGTAAGTAATTCCCAATTGGTAAGTCTGTCAAGTATTTACATCGAAATATTCTTTGTTGAGCTTTCTGTCTTTATTTAAATTAAATCTATTTGTTTGTTCTTGTATGTATATCATTTCGAAAATTAATCTTTTGTGATAATTTGGTTCAAAACATCAAGTAAATACTTTAACATTGATCCAATCAAACGAATGATTGAGATCTAAGATATGTTGTGTAATAACTGTGTGTTTGGACGAATCGAATCTGATGTTATTTAATATGTTTTTTGATTCTGGTTTTGAGCATTCTTTTAATTTGTCTGCCCTACGTAGAATGCATGACAGTTTTTGTAATATATTTTATAAATCACATTATTGTTTACTGTTGTCGCATTTCTGTCTTTGTATGCTTTGATATACCTATCAAGTTTATTCAGACATCTGTAATCGATTAAAAATTCGTCCATGTTTATCGCTGACACTAGTTTTTTAGAGACATTTTTTATGTAAGGGATGATTATGTATTTCCTTTCATCTCGCTTATTTGACATATTGTTATTAAACAGTGATATTGTTATTATATCCTAGCACATTAAAATTAGATTCAATTTTATATGAAAACATATTTTTAGTCTACGGTTCATATTATTAAGAATTATTGTGAAGGGAATAGTTATTCAGCAATAAATTAATAACAAGTTCCAAATTTTTCTGGTAAAATTTGACAAAGCAAAACCGCTCGCTGTATCCACTAAACATAAATTATTCAAATTTTATGGCATAATCGATTGCTAGAATAATATGATAGGTAACGTCCTGAAAATGTATCTCTGTGAAATCAATCAAATAGTAAAATGTTATTATTTATAGTCGCATTTTTTAATCTAAAAAGTTAAGACACCGTTCCCTTTCTTTATCTATTGTAAATTGAAGTTGGTAGTAATAACTATTGAATGTGCTCAGGATAGTATTAACTCTTTGTCTTTCGGCGCCGCTAAAACTATCGTCGTCAACATATCGTTTGTAAAGAGGTACTTTTATAGTTCTAAGCTGTTCAATGCATGTGTTTTTAAATCAGCTTTCATAATATCAGCATTGATAGAGAATCTTCAATTTACAATAGATGAAGAGAGGGAACGGTGTCTTTTTAAATTTAAAAATGTGACTATAAATAATATTTTACTATTGATTGATTTCACAGAGATACATTTTCGCGACGTTACCTGTCATATTATTTTAGCAATTAATTCTGTCTTAAAATTAAAATAATTTATGTTTAGTGGATACAGCGGTTTTACTTTGTCAAATATTATATTTTTTTCCAGAAAAATTTGGAACTTGTTATTAATTTATTGCTGGACAACGACCCTCTTCACATGATTTTTAATAATATGAACCTTATAGATTAAAAATATGTTTTTATATAAAATTAAATTTGAATGTGCTAGGAGGAATAACAATACGTCAAATGAGCGAGATGAAGGAAAATACATAGCTATCCCTTACAAAATATAAAAAATATCTCTGAAAAACTAGTGTCAGCGATAAACAAGGATGAATTTTTAGTCAGTTACAGATGTCTGAATAAACTTGATAGGTATGTCAAAGCACACAAAGACAGGAATGCGACAACAGTAAACAATAATGTGATTTATAAAATATATTGCAAAAACTGTCATGCATTCTACGTAGGGCAGACGAATTAAAAGAATGCTCAAAACCAGAATCAAAAAATGTGTTAATAACATTAGACTGGATTCGTTCAAACACGCAGTTATTACACAACATATCTTAGATCTCAATCATTCGTTTAATTGGGTCAACATTAAAGTACGTACTTGATTTTAAACCAAATTATCATAAAAGATTAATCTTCGAAATGATACGCATGAAAGAACAATCGAATGGATTTAATTTAAATAAAGATATAGAACTGCTCCACAAAATTTCGATATAGGTACTTGACACGCTTACCAATTAATAATTACTAATTACTCCCACAATTAAAAGTAAAAAAATTTGTCTGTATAATTATTACTACTGTTATGTAGTAATCTTTGCCGCCTAT